TATCTTCTGTGTCTGTGTTAATTGGTTTCCCTTTTCTTTGTTGAAGAGGGTCTGTGCAATCTTTCTGCCTAGTCCGCCATCTTGCCCCGCCTCTTCTTGTGTTTGGTTTTAATGTAACTATTAATATTAATAACAAGATTTGTGGTAAGATAATGAAATCTTTGAATGTCATAAGATGATGGTTGGGAAACATCATCATATGATTGAGTAAAAAATAACATCATCATATGATTGATTAAAAAATGATAGAATCATGCCAATGGTTCAGATTTTGACTGTGTTACTTATCAATATGTTATGTATCCCCTCTGGGCTTTAATTCTCTAATTTACAGAATGGTGGAAAGCATTCACTTTCAGGGTTACTATGAATAAATATTTCCTATGCTATCAGGGTTACCAAGAATAAATTACTTCTATGAATCAGCTAACACAGTACCTAGCAACTAGAAGTGCTTAATATTTTAGTGATCCCTACTCCTACTACACACTAGAAGGCATTTTTCATGTTTCTTATTCAATATGGTGTGCACAGGTTTTAGATACTTGAAAAAAGGTGAATGAATGGTCCTTTAGAATAAAACCTAGGTTTCATGATGAGTGCTATATCAGACATTTGCAGGAGGCTTCCTGTAATGTAGAATGGTGGAATGAAGATGTCTGTAAATTCACTCTTTCATAAAACCAACAAAAACATGGCAAAATTATCATAATTAACTTTTCCATAACCCTGAAAGTTAATGAAAAGCTTATTAAAATCTGCAGAGTTATCATTCAAGAAAAATTACTGAATCTCAGTTAAACAGTGGGTGTTTTAACTTGATCTACCCAAATACACCATTTGCCACTACACAGTAGCTTCCAAAACCAGAAGCCTTAAAACAATGAAAGCTGAGGGAAAATACCAGTTTTGATCAAAGAGGAAGTATACCATGTTAGAACACCTCAAGAAGTCCCATTGGAGCATTTTCATTTGGTGGCCTGTCTAGAAGCTCCCTGGAAAAGCTTCATTCAAAAAGGGCTATCATTACATTCAAAAAGGGCTATCATTATTAGACTTAATTCATTGGGAAAAGTCCTTTTCCCAGTATATTTGTTAAAAATAATTAGCTATTGTGTTTAATATTGCAGCTATGTAAGGCTATGATATCAGTTAAGCCAAACAAAAGCCTAACCAAAAATTTAAAAATAACATCTGGGGAATGAGATGTCCATAGGCAGCTTTGAGAGTCTCTGATATATTCTTGTGCATATAGAAGGCCACATCCATTTGCAGGGCTTTTTACATGCAAAGGAATGATGTGAGAAAAGCCCCAATCTCTCACCATGGCTGACCTTCAAGACCTGCACAAGCAGGTAGTTAAGACTAAAGTCAAGTTGTAAACTGCATGGATATTGAAGGCATGCCCCAACACACACACACACACACACACACACACACACACACACACCATTTGGCAAAGGGGAGAATACTTATTGGTTCAAGAAATTTAAAGAAATCTTTGACCAATCACTAGTTGACCACTAAGCTTACTGAGTAGAGACTTTAGTGACTTCACATTACATAGAATACAGACATTGTAGTATTAGGTCAGGTAAGTCATCATACAAACAAAAAACAAAGAAATAATCAACTAGAACAACAAAACATGGATTGGAAAGGAGGGACATAATTTCCAGAATTGCTATATTACCTAGAGCATCCAGTTTTCAAATATTCAACGTATCCAGCTATGTTGCTGTTGTTAGGTTCCTTTGAGTCTGCCTGACTCATAGTGACCCTATATACAACAGAAAGAAACACTGGCCAATCCCACATCAGTCTCATAATACTTGCTACATGCAAGACAATCATTGCAGCCTCTGTGTCAATCCATTTCATTGAGGTTCTTCCCCTTTTTCACTGACACTCTGCTTTACTAAGCATGAAATCCTTCTCCAGGGCATGGCCCCTTCTGACAACATCACCAAAGTAGGTGAGAC